CGGCACAACAGCAACGCGTTACCTTTAATCTGTTAAAAGAACAAACAAAGAAGAAGAACTGTCAAAAACTCAAAAAACTCCAGCATCTGCAGCAGGCTGCATGTAATATTTCTGATTTGGTGGTGAGGAACTTTATTTAGGGGAAAATTGAATGAAATGTCACCAAGAGGCTCATTTATTTCAAGCAAATCAGTTGACAGAAGTGTCCTGTCTGTCCAGGACTGACCCTGAAAATCGAAAGCATTTCTTCCTTTTAGGATCGACAACTGTAATCCTTTACCATCAAGAAATGTTGTATAAACCCTCCAGGCCCCTCAGGTCTTCTGGTTCTGCTCTGCATCCCCAGAAGCAGAACCAAACGAGGAGAAGCAGCATTCAGCTTCTACGCACCACAAACCTGGAGCAAACTTCAAAAAAACCTTGCAAAAACAGCTGGAACACTGACTTCCTTTAAATCTCGACAGAAAACCCAGCTGTTTAGAGTTTTTTTGCAACGTAATCAATTACAAACTTAATTTGACTTTATGTAATGCTTTGATTGTTGATTTTACGTTGCATGACTTTGTGTTTACGAACTAAAGCACATTGAAACAGCTTGCTGCTGAAATGTGCTATGCAAATAAAATTTGACCCATTGATATCAGGAAATACACAAAATGTAGTTCAAACACGACGCAACCGACTGTCGCTACGTCCAGGACGAACTAATCTGAACAATAAACAGTTTAATGCAGTTTTTTTTGTTTGTTTGTTTGTTTTTTGTGTAAAATATTGAGACATTTGTTGTTACACTGAACTGAACTAACTCTGATCTTACATATTATCTACACACAGATTGATGATTTCAAGCCTTTCTTTTGGTTCAACATGCAGATTTTTATGCATAACTTGACGATTATTGGAACGGAACAGAACTTGTTGTTTTCCCAAAGTTCGCTGATTTATTAAATGCGACAACATGAACGGTTCACATGTGTTTGTGTCAGAAATCTCCGATCTGGGACTCAACTGTCTTCTGTGAAGACTTAAGCTTTTTTTCCATTTAATATTAGCATTTTTCTCACACAGATAAGTCATGTATGTTCTTTTTTTTAATGTCGAGAGGATTTAATGCCGAAGTTGTAGTTCTCGGCAGCCTGTTTGTGAAATTGAAATCTCCACGGGACCATTTCAATTAAACGTTAAACTTTGTTTAAAATCTAACGTCTCCTTAGATTTGAAACGAAATGTCTCCGCTCAGGCAGGCGGTGAGGCGTTTTGGGCAAGACACATTCTTCGTGTCAAAGGTTCATCTGATGTCACCAGGAAAGAGATTTACCGTTTATTTCTCCTGCCGTCTGCCAGATATTTAAGTACCAGCAGCCATATTTGCGTGTTTTTATTGCGAATGCGTAATGCAGATTCTTGTATCCTCTGGTCTTATTTCCCAACGGGGCAAAAACGAGGATTTGATCTTTATTTTAACCGTCCGTTTATCCTGAGATAAAAGCAGGAACTCTTGCTCCGCGGTATGAAGCCACGTCTGAAAGCTCAACTCGAGGAATCTTACAGAAATGTATCTACGTGTTTGTTCCTTTGTCTCATCTGCTTCCTGCTGCGAACACAAGGAAAAAAAAAACACGGAAAAGATGCTACGAATAAGTTCGACTCTCATTTACTACCTTTCTGGTGGCGATAAACCTTCTACTTGTACAGCAATGTATCATTTAAAGCAAAACTCTTTTTATTTTACACTACTTGCTCCATAAGCTTGTTTAACTGAGGTGGAAGCTGAAGTGTTAAAGTGAGCAGTTTTCGCCAGTTGAATGGAGTCACTCCCACCTGTTGCTGTTACTGCTTGTCAGCTGGCTGAAAGAGGAATGTTACTTTTCCTCTGGATGGAAAAAAGACAAGTTTGGAAATGCTTCCAGTAATAAGAAACACTTCATGATAGTAACCGCGCCTCCGGTTCTACCTGAAACGACTCTTTATGGCACTTATGTAACTCCATAAGGAGCAGAACAGTAAATATATCATGCAGAAGGTAATGACAAAAGCCATAGTTTTTATTTTCACACACAAAAATCTCTGCAGTCCACTGTGAGTTCTTGAATTAAACCTAAATCATATAAATTAGGTCCAGCCTGCGGCGTCTCACTCGAAAACATCCACAAAGCAACAAAACTAAATCATGCCTTTAAGAATTTTACAAATACCTGCATATTGATCACTTCATTTCCTGTTTGTTTCTGAATTTTATTGCACGATAGCCCTGATAATAAAGCTACTCTATCAATCAGACTTTACTTATAGAGCAGTTTTCATGTGTCCAAGGAATAGAAATAGAAAACAGCTTCAGAGGTGAAAAACAGAAGGATGGAGAAACACAATAAAATGACCAAACTATCTAATTAGACATACAAAACAAATAATGTCATCAAAACTGTGAAGAATTGAATTGAAAGCTGTGACAATTAAGCATGGATATTAAATACTACCAACATGCCTATTTATGTCTAAGAAAATAAATATAAAGCAACAAAGCAGCCAAGAACAATACATGGCACACGTGCAAAACCTGAACAGCAAGTGACACTATTATCAAAAACGCATGTCAGTAATTACAATTATTATCAGCAAAATGATCCTAAATATAATAAAGCAAAAATGAAAATTTCAGCTCAAAGCCAGACTGGAGCGCTTTTATCTTACAGTCATTATTAGGACGTGAACAACCCAAGCTCAACACGGCTGCTTGCGTTAGAAATGTCTTAAAAGCGCATTACCCCTTTAATTCTGCCGCTTCTTCGGATTGCCATTATCACACCCGCTAAGTGAATGGACTGTCTGTATTTACCAGAGAACAGCAATCAGGTGCGGTTGACCTTGATATGTGTGTGTGTGTGTGTGTGTGTGTGTGTGTGCGTGTGTGTGCAAAAGAAAACACACACAAGATTAAACTGACAAATGGCGGTACAGCAGCTCACTTAGATGGTAAATGTGTGTTTGAACCAAGCAGAGTGACGCTCGCATGCGCAACACTTAGTGGCGGTCAATGATAAAAGATTGATTTCATCCTCTTTCTCTCACACTTTACAACACACACACACACACATAGTGCATTATGAGTGATGCGATTCAACACACCTCTCGGCAGCCACTCTGCTTTCCATCCTGCCGCCTGAGCAGAATACTAATCACTGGATCACATTACTGAGAGCAGGGAGAGAGGTCTCTGCCACCACATGAAAAAAAAAAAGAAACGGGAGAGAAGAAGCGCAGAACGGCGCGAGTTATATCAGATAACAGAAACATAAAGGTGCGCGTCACAGACTGCGGCCCAGCTCGCGTCTGCGCAGCCTTTCTGTGAGCAGCATGCTGATACCGCGGCTCAGAGATGAGTCGGTTCTGCCGAACTGAACTGCTGGGTCGGGAGGGGGGTTCTGGGAGTCGAGATGAGATCTGGAGCACAAGGGAAAGTTTGGTGAGACCAAAAGAAAAACGGAGCAGCAAGCACGCGGATAAAATCGTAATGAGCTTACTGTACAGCCAAAGCTGGGTTTATGGGAAACTGAAGGTTTTCCAGCCAGGTGAGGCCGCGGCGGCTGGGTTTTCTTCACTTCTTTCTCTAGCAGCTGAACACATCAGTGTAACATTTCAAGTCAAGTGAAACCAAGCTTCTAAAAACGCTTTCCAATATATTGTTTGTGAGGCTTAAAGTAAATGTAGTGAGAAGGCAGAGAAGAGGAACGGCAACACTTTCCCACTGCTCACAAGAAAGACAAATCCAGTCACTTGAACATCGTCCCAGTGGAGAAAGGCGCTGAGAGCTTTGACTGGGACGCTCAACAAGCTGCACTCTTCTCTTTTGCCGGCTAATTCTGTTTTATACTGCAGCTGCTAAGCTCGGTCGAACAGCCAGCAACGGCTAGGTACCTGAGCAGAGAGCCTGACCGCTGAACCACCTGACCACATCAAAGCATACTCTCGATGTTCATCGCATTTCAACCGAAAAGGTCACGCATAGGTCACATATGGACCAAGAAAAAAGCAAATTTGGGTCGTATTTTTCTGCCGTCTGAACTTAGCCTGCGTGCCAAAGTTCAAATAAGAACGAGTAAAAATGTACGCTGAAGACATTTTACTGTGACTCTACTGGTTGTTTTTACGCATCGACAGAAATAACTGTTGCTTTTCTGCATAAGACAGCGACACTGTTCACCCAAACCAATCAAACCGCACGAATGTGAAACTGACCGCGTCTAACTCGAGCCCTTCAGGATCCCATCCACGCATGTTAACTACAACGTGCGGACTTCGCCCAGATGTGATGTCATTATTGCAGCGCCATGCAGTTTCATTAAACCACAGTTACGTTCTTCTGAGGTGGGTATCATTTTAAAGTTCAACACGACTGATTTTTCATGCATGCCGTCTTCATCGCCCAGTGAGGTCGGTGTCCAGTGCAAGGACGCTCCCAGTGTATCTTGTGGGTAACGCTCTACTTCCTGTGCAGGTCGGCCAGATTGAGAAACACCGAGTTAGGAATAATCTATTCCTTTAGTTTTTCTGGGGGTTTTTCCCCTATGCATTCAGACGTTGTAGGTGTTGGCAGATGTTATTGCTGTGGTTGTGCTGGGTGGTATTTGTTACATCAACACACATGTCAGAAGCTGAGGTTTTCCAGTTAGACAACGCAGTGAAACACGGGAAATTTCATTCGCTCTTTGCTGTCAGATTCATCTGGTTCTAATATTCCGACCAAAAAAAAATAAAAATGAGCTGTGATAAGAAAAGTACGCGCTCCGAAACGCTTCGCGAGACCAGAGTTGCTCATGTCAGTCCTGATCAAGACGTATTTGGATATATGCACGTTTACATAAGTTACGCTGAGACTGAAAGAAATTAATTTACCTGAGAAATACTGCGTGCACTAAAGGGAAAAGTGGGAGCAACGCAGAAAACAACAGCATATGGGAAAATTGTTTTTGCAGAAATTGGGGAATGTACACAGGAAAAATAGGAGAGTAATTTTTTCGGAGTTAACATTATTTTCATCAAAAAGAGTCAAATTTATACATTAGAGAGTGAAATCATTTCAGTTGGTCAATAGAATCGGAGTAAAAAAATAGAGGAAATTATATCGGAGTAAAACAAGACCACGCCCACTGAAGTTCCTTAAGTTTCGTTTCTTCCGCCATCTTGTCATCCCGCAGTGGAAACGGAGGCGAAGGTTAGCTATGTGCCAGGTAAGTCCCCAAACGGGTTTTAGATATATTTTACGTGGGATTTATATATATATATATATATATATATATATATATAAATATATATATATATATATATATATATATATATATATATATATATATATATATATATAAGACTAAAGGTGTGATAAGGTGCTGCTGTATGGTTGTGGGGGAAGGAGGGATGCAGCGAGGAATTAACATGGTTGGCTAACTAGTTAGCATGTGTACTTCAGCTATCTTAATTTAGCAGTTTACAGCAATGTAAGCAGAAAAAACATCAGTGCTGTCCAATGCTTCGTCCATTATTTTATTTTCACAAGTCGAGGCTGTCGCTATTTTTAAGCTGAGAGACTGAGCTGTACTGTCGGAGCTAGCTCTGCTAGCATGTGGAGTCAGTATTCCGCCCAGAAAAAAGCGCGAGAAGGCTATGCTAGTAACTTCTCTTGAAATTACTAGCATAGTATTATTTTAGTGAATCCTAGGGTTGCAGCTCGTAGAGCAACGATAAAATAATAATAAAAAAAAAAAACAGAATTCAAGTTGTGCTTTATATGCAAATTGTGTAAGTTGTCACGGTTGTCTTTGTTTTGACAACTTTAAAAACATTTGTCATTCACCTACTTTTAGGAGCATTATTACAATGCAGAAGATGGAAGTGGGTATTTGGCTTGGAGACTGAAGTTTGTACAGAGGGAAGCTTCTAATGGACAAAAAAATGTCCCCAGACTGTCACAAACCCAAACAGGTATATGGATTTTATATTTGTACACATTTCATCCTGCAACCAAACTGCACAATAAGTTCCCAAGCCTTATTTATGAATCCTAACATGGAGTCTCACATATATATGTTTTTTTAGGGGGACCAACAACTGATAAGAGAGACTGTTTGAGAGAAGAAGACTATCTTCTGACAGATCGCTTGTCTCTTCATCAGCTGTGTGCTTCATCAGTGATTGCACTGATGAAGCACACAGCTGATGAAGAGACTGTTATGAGGAACATGAAACAGACTTTCAACTCTCGTCAGAAGATGATTCATGACCCAGCAAAGTCATCTAGTATCTTTTTGGACTTCCCAAGATTCCTGGACATAGGAGGATTGGTATGTTTATTTTCACTTCAGTTTTAACCAACAAAGTTTAAATAAGAAAACTTAACAAAATGATTTTTAAAACCTTCACTTCATCTATTCTCCAGGTTGAGCAAGATTTTATGTTGATGTTTGGGGAAGCCATCTCTGCAAAGTTCCCTGAGAAGTGGCCCACTGTCTACAAGCATAAAGTCCTCAAACAAAGCCGCAGTCTCACACAGTCTGATGACCTTCAGAACCTTCTTTACAATGCTGAAGGCACAACAGAAGTGGAAAATGGTAAGTTGCAATTACTTATAAAGAAAGTGTTTTATGTAACAGAATTTTTTTGAATTGGTTCAATATAAGTGCACCTCCTCCTGCTGTTAGTTAGATTTGGTAAGCTTTCTCTGGAAGTATTAACATGGTTGCAAATAAGAAGTTTTGGTAACATGTTTCTTTAACTTTTTCTTCTAGGATGGGACAGTGACATGTCATCCATTTTGATCCTGGTGTACCTCCTGCCACAGTCACCTCCTGGATACAAGAGACCAGGAAAACTCTCAGCCAGACAAGCCAGTGAACATCTTGTGAAGTTTGTCAAGGTAAGGTTAGAGTAAAGGAAACATTTATGAAATTGGTCTTCAATTTCATTTCAAGTGACATTTAAGATATCCTGAAAAGTAATTTGCCTTATCTATTAGAACCCTGTCTTCTTTGAAACCTAAGACTAATAATGTTTTATTCTGTTTTTGCCACAGACAAGAACCAGCATCAAGGAGCACCTTGAAGGCATCGCAGAGAGCTGTCAACCATACCTGCTTGCAGTAAGGACTCAGAGGAGCGTGATTTGATGAGCTTTTTAAAGCTCACTTTATGTTTGGCACTTCATTTGATCGTGATCTGGTCAATGTGTACAAGAGACGGACCTCATGTTATTTATGTAGAAGAGCTTTACTGTTCCAGAGCTTTTCATTTCGAGGTGTCATACAGTCATGAAGACGCAAATGTTTAAATTGTTCCATGCTGTTTTTCTGTGAACAATAAAAAATGGCTGTCCAAATTCTGATTTCTGGTCTATGCATTGTACTCTTACAAACAGCTGTGTTATAGCTGTAAAACAATTGCTTCGTCAGTGAAATAGTTAAATTTGGTAATACTTTAGAATTTAATTAAATGTTTAACTGCACAATATGGAATAAAAAAATTTTATACTATATGGAATAAAATGTTATTCTATTTTATGTAAAAATTCATTTTAATTAGATTAAAATTTATCTCTACTTAGAATAGAATGCAATGCTTTTTGGAGTAAATTATATTCTACTTGGAGTTAAAATACGGTAGAGTATTTTTTCTTTTAAACAACTTGGAGTAAATTCTCTTGGCATTGATTAAAATTTTTGCACTAATTGTGTTTGATTTTAATCTGTAATTTCAACTCTTCCATGAGAGTAAATTTTACTCTATTTAGACTGGGACCAAATGTTGTCTTTTTTAGAGTAAAATTTTTTTCAAATTGTGTAAAATTTACTCTGGAAATTTTACTGTGTAGGAGCTCATTGAAACATCAGAGCAGTTTATACCAGCTTAATTAAACTATATGTAACTCCCCCAAGCCCCATGCTGAGGGTGTGTGCGTGCAAATCTTTTATTATTTGCAGTAATGTTAAAAGACATCAAAGCGTGTATTGATTTGGTAAAAGCCATGTGACCTCTTTAAAGTTGGGTTCTACCAAAAGGAAGTTGTCGGTCTTCAAAGCGCGCCAGATCCTTTCAAAGAATGTTTAGAAAAAGATAAATATATTAAGAAGTGTGAACGTTATAGAGCGGCAGGGTGACACAGGTTGACACTGTCGGCTTATCTCCAGCGGTTCTGTCCTGTTGTTCCTCTGCGTTGCCTGGTGATAAATTGCAGGGTTGTACCCCGCCTCTCGCCCAGTGACCGCTGCAGAAAGGCTCCAGCCCTCATGACCCAATAAAGATGAAAACAATGGATGGATGGGCGTATAAAAGTAATCTACAGCAGAGTTGATGTTGTGAAGGAGCTGAACGTTTTGGTGTTTCCGTGGTTGAAACGGCACGGAAATTGAAGACTGTTGAGGGAGTCGCAGAGTAGCATAACCTGATAATGTTATGATAGGGTTACTGCTGCAATATTCGAGTGCCAGTTGCACTGAATCTATGTGAATGGCTTTTGTGTGTGGGCAATGACCATGTGCAAGAGTATTTGTGCTTATAAAAACACCAACAAACTATTAAAGAAAACAAAACTATGCAAGTACCAGCAGGGATGTGAACACTAATTACGTTTGTTGGGAAGAGAGGAAGAACCTGCGATTACACTCCTTCCTCCTAAAGAGGTGCTTTAAGATTTGAATGGCTCCTTTTTGTCAAATTTTGCTGATATTCATAAATGCCATCTTTAAATATAGCAAAACTGCTTTTCATCTAAGCACACTAGTCTGGTAATCTCGGTTCGATTGGGGGCCAAAATTCCAACATTTGGTGCGGTTCGCCTTCGCACTGCTTCGTGCCAAGAACCTCTGAAGGAAATGACACAAAAACCTCAGAAGACACTTAGTGCAACTTCCTTCTTTACAAAATGTAAACAAGATTGAGGAGCATCATATTTGTAGAATTTCCCTTTCGTCTTTGGCAAAAGGCCACAAGCCATTTCTCCCGCTAGAGCTAGACATGTGCGTTTGTTTTGTGTCTACATACCCAGAATGCACTGCGGTATGGTCTGCTTTCTGCTTTTGGAGTACAGTCCGCTTGCATTCGAACAGCACCAGAGTTCACTTCCACCAAACCAACCCTATGGTTTTAGGCGGACTCGGGTTCACATCAGAGTTCGATGGCGCATTCCCGTCTCCTCGAACGAATCTGACTCTCAAGGCAAGCGAAGGGCTGTTGTAAGCAGGGCTGATGTTAATGCACCCATGAGGGCAACTTGTGTTAGTTACATTTAGTCTCTCTCACTCTAGTGGTTGTAAATACTTTGTTACGAGGAAAGTCTAAAATTCGAGCTCCTCTCTGATCAATCTCCTTCCACATTAGTAGTTTCCACGGAGCGTTGTCCTCTGTTCTCGGCCGACTGTATGAATATACAAATCCTCACTCTAAATCTCACACGTTCTCCCCCTCCTCGCCATCCCCCCTGCCACCGCCCGCTCCTCCCTCACCTCCACCCCCCCACAAAACCCCATGCTGAAGCAATTATGTCCAGTGTGTGAGTCTTCACAAGCAGTGTGAGGGTGATTGATGATGCTGTCAGCGCAGGGAACATGTTTTAACGTCAGAATAATCTGCCTGCTAATATATTACATCCACTGGATAGGGTTCAATCATTACTAATAGCACTGCTAAGTTGGTGAGAGGGGGCGCACGTGGCTCAGAGGGTGTGTGCGTGCAAGTTGGTGTGTGTGTCTCATTAATCAGAGAAGAAGTGTAGGCAGAGAAATCTGGTAAGGCAAACTAATAAACAAGTAAGGAAAGGAGAAAGATGTTTACCTCTTACATAATTACCCCCCTCGTATCCTACAGTTGGCGAATCAGCCAAGACGCCGCCATTGTGAGCGCGAGAGTCTTACCACCTCTCGGTATAATGTCGTCTTATGATATGAAAGGGCCGGGGAAGAATGGAAGCACAATGGCATCAGACGCCTGAGAGAGAGGCAGCCTTGTGGTGTCTAATCCGTGCTGTCTAATCTCTCAAATTGCTGTGACGTTTGATGAAGGGGATCCAGTCGGGAGCGAGGAGAGAAGCAGCCCCGGTCCCACTCATTTCTTCTTTTTCCCCTTCTGTCTTATCCGTTCTTTTTTAGTTCTTTGCTGATGTGCAGAGCATACATCCAGCTGTGCGCTCCCCTCCTCTCAACTCCTGAACAAATCCGTCTTTAAATACAAGCTTGGGTTGTTTACAGCAGCTCCCTGCCTCCAGACACCATCCGTTCGGTTGACATTGCCCTCTTATCTGCCATGCGGCCCTCCCCCCCACTTGCTTTCTATTACCACAGTCAGGTAAAATATGCATGTAGCCGGACTTGTATGTACACAAGCATGTATATTTGAAAGAAGGAAAGGAATGGGAATACACTATGTGTGCGTGTGAGTGTGCATAGGGGGAAAATCTCTAGGGATAGGTGGTATATTCTGCTGGTGTCAGCTGGCTCCTGGCCTGCAGATTAATATATATGTGTGTGTGTGTGTGTGAGTGTGTGTGTGTGTACATGCAAACAAAAGGCAGCTCTCACAAAACACCCCATAAACAGATTAGCTCGTCTGCAGTGAAACAAAGGGTTAAGAGAGATTGGAAATTTCACAGAGAAGGAGTGGGTGTGCGTTTGGGTTGTGTTTGTGTGCCGCGCGGAGGGTGAGCGGGGGACCGGCGTGGCGGTGGAGCGTTGTGATCGCTCTCCCTAATACTGTGTGGAGAATCTCCTCGCCAGGCTCAGCTGCCAATTCTCTGCACTGTAACAGTCCCATTCTGCTCCTCAGCCCCCGTGAAACAATGCAGCCATGCTTTCCTGAGCATCTCCACACAAAGAGCCGCGGCGCTGAGACAGACGCTCCGAGTGAACTGAGACGGTGGCGGGACAATAGACTAAGAATGGTTTTGTTTGCCATTGTGTTGCGCGTTTGTGAGGACAAACATTCATAATAATAATAATAAAAGGAAAGGGGAAAAAATAGGTTCTGAGGGATGAGCGACTTTCCGCTCCATTGTTGCAACTTTAAGAGGATGTGGAGTTTACAGAAGAAGTTAGTTTTGTTGGTCGCATCTGGACCAAAACTGGATCTGAAGCTCTTTTTTTTCTACATGGTTTGTCCTCTAGGTGGCATCTATGGAGACCGAGGACTATGGAAAGCTGAATGGCCACAAACAAATATAATGATGTATCCTGCTGGTGGTTGTACTGTCTACTGGTGGCAATGAACGCTGAGACAAGCTTCCCCACCGGACCGCCTTGCTGGAACCCCGAGCCAATCACGACAGCCGAAACAAGGCCTTTATCTACAGGGGCTTATTAAGCTAATTGAATTAGCATGTTGTGATTTCTGAACCCAAATACGATTAGCCTGTTATTACCGTGTTATCAGGGTCCCTTGTTACAGTAACAGCAGGTTGCTTTTGGCTGTTGCCTCGGCTCTTTTTCTCTCGCTCATCTTCGCGGGGTCTTTGGCATATCAATAAACTCACTCCTGGTTTATTAGCTACCTGGCACAGTTAGAAACAAACCTAGGATGTGAGAAAAAGTGTGTGGCAATCAAACCCACTCACATTTTGTCAAGTTACAACCACAGCCTTCAATGTGCGTCACTGGGGCTGCTTATGACAGAGCTGCATCTAGCAGACATAACTTTGAATTGACAGGTGATGATGATGCATGGCTGACATCAGTGTTTAGCCAAGAACAAAAACCTTAAGAAGTGTGCCAAACATTTGTATTTCACCCTGCAGAGTCATTGCTTTTCGAACCCACTTTTTGTTGCAATTAAAGCTGCAAATCTGTCAGCGTATGTGTAAAAGCCCTCAAAAACAGGAATAATTCAACAAATGAGCCTCAAACACTTTCCTTCCTCCGATACAAGGGGTTTTGATCGAGTTATTATAATTTACCTACGTTCACAACGATGATTCCAAGCTTGAAACAACAGTATGGTTTTCTTACAAAGCCATCATGGTACACAAACGTAACAAATAACGGGATACACGTCACAATGCTACATTCACACGTCGGTTAGCATCGTGAGCTGTCGGCTAACTGCGGCTAACAACAAAGTACGCATAAAGTCTGAAACAAAGAGCATTCACGAGCTTTTTAAGAGTTAGTAAACCAACTTACAACAGCACAGGTACTTTTATGTGTGAACTCTCACCTGAAAAAGGGAAATAATTTGACAAATGAGCCACAGAGACGCTCTTTGCTCTGCAACAGCGAAGAAGAAGTTGCGTGTTCTTTACCGCGGCTCATTACCGCTAGGCTCCCCCAGCTGGTCGACTCTGGTCATTACATCTACTGAGTCAAACTGTTGGCGGCTTGAGCGTTGAAAGCTGAACTGGAAAACTGTTTTCTGTAAGAGTGTGACTGAGCTAAAGACTGTCAACATCTCAGCAGATCAGGGATTTTCTGTGGAGAAAAAAAAAAGCAACCTTTCTTAAATTTCTTTCCCTGCGTTTTCCCCACATAAACTTCTCTGTCCCTCGCTCGTCACACGGCTCATTGAATTGTCACACGGCTGTGGACGTGGCAGAGGCCCTGAAACTTTCCCCTTTGTGATGTGCATCATGAAGCAAGGTGTGGTTTTGCCTCAGATGCAGAGATGAAAAGGTGGAGCTGAGCGTCGGTTCCACCAGCGGCTGAGACTGATTAGAGTAGCTGCAGGGCATCATTAGTCAGTCTCCTTCTACTTAGCAGGGCCGCGCTGAAGCCCCAGACAGCGAGAGCACAGCAAGGCAATGATGATGGCTGCCAGTTGGCCCCTTTTGTTTGCCCCCCCAAAAAATACATTTTGTGTTTAACGTCGATACTTTTCTTAAGTACATATCAGGATATCCTTCCATTGGTATTTCAGAAATTAAAGTAAATAACACCAAAGCATGCCACTGTTACATACTGGGAGAAAAAAAAGAAAAGTCTTATGTGAATCATGTCCCTTCTTCAAAAATTAAAGCAGAGTAATGGACAAACTTATTCCCACAAATTTGTACAACCACACACTAAGGGTGTATAATAATTGCAAAATAGTGAAAAGGATAAATGGTTTTAAACTTTTTCACAACTATAAAGTGTGGATTTTTTTTTTTTTTTTTAAGATTTAGGTCCTGTGCAACCAGTCTCCTTTGAAATGTAAATAAAGTCAGGAGAATAAGCCTATGTCATTTCATTTAAGAAAGAAACTCTTAAACATGGCCAATTTTTACACCCCAATAGAATTGTTGAAGAACCACTAATAACCTAAGAGGCAAAAAACAAAAGTCCTGTTGGAACTTTTCAAAGCCAACACCCAGGAAACTAATCTGATAACCTATAATGTACAAGAACCTCAAATGTTGATCTTAATTGCCTTAGTGTGAATGTTAAATATAAAAAGGCATTTTACAATCCAAAGCCATTTAGATTAGTACCATCATGTCCTCTGAAAGAACGTTAGGTTGATATTTTACCATTTTAGGTATTGAAGTCATTAAACTGAACCAAAAACAAAAAAATCCAAGTCAAAGAATGAGGAGCAAGGAATTAATTTGTGGTTAACCTAATTTGACACATTACATAAATTTCCCATTCCCCCCCCCCCCTGTTTGAGTAACTTTAGCTGTCTGCATTTTCTTGTGCACCTCTGGGGAAAAAGGAATTTCTCTTCAACACAAAAATGTTTAGTTTTGAAGACTTTATTGAATAATGCAAGTCATCTGCTTGGACCAGTCATCTGAAAAAAAAAAAAAAACAAGGGTTTAGCCAAACTGCATTTGCCACCTGCAATCAGCACTTTTAATAAATCTTTACCAGTTTCACAATCACATCCTCATCTGGTTAGACCTTCTGCCTGTTCCAGGGTTCTGGGCCATTTGTGGAGCATCAGAGCCATGTTCTGTCTCATAGTGCCTGGTCTGTAGTAATTTTTGCCCCTCACATCATTTCTGCTGAAGGCGTTATAGGTGCCAGGGGGGTACAGACCATACAGGAGCCTGTAGTCAAAGTAAGGGTAGGGAAAAGGGCAATGACGGGGGTAGAGAGAAGAGTAGCCCCACAAGCCACCCACACCAAGATTTGGTGTAGTGACAAGTGGAAGACTTTGGCCAGGCCACATACGACCAGCTGGATAACCAAACTCCTCCATCTGCTGCTGCTGCTGCTGGTGGTGGTAGTTCCCAAGTTCAGCTTTGGAGGTTTCTCCAGACTGAAGGGTCACTGGAGGAGAGAGAGGGGCGCTGGGACTCTGGGCTTGTGCACTTGATGCTTCCTCAAAGTCTTGAATTGTCCACTTTGATTCTGAATGTTGTGGAAACATTAAACAGTTGGCATTCAATTCATCCACAGATTAGTTACACCAAGTTTGAGACCCATTACCTGGGAGGGAAGACTGACCAGCTGCAGCCTGTGGCGAGCCAGCAGCAGAACCTGGTATGTAAGGAGCACCACTGTAGTAGCCTGCTGGAGCAGAACCTGCAGCGTATCCAGCAGCAGGCACGGCGCTCACACCGACAAACACGGGCTGCACAGACTGGGGCCGGCTGGGCTGCTGCATGAAGACACCTGCAGGATCACTGGAGCCAGAACTTGCTCTGCGAAAAGCAACATTCCCTCCTGCACTGGTGCTGCTGCCGCCTCCGCCACCACGGCTGCTGCTGCTGCTGCTCTGGTGTTGAGACTGCAAACCTGGTTTGCCCAAGAGACATTTCCCAATTAGATTGAGTCACTTTGTGCAAAGGAAAATCTGTATTAAATACCTTTAACTGACAATCCACAGACATCCAGAACCAACCAGGCAAAGAGGGACACCCTGAAAACACAAGAAAACGTCACCAATTGATTTTTAAAAAGCCAACATGGAGAAACAAGGGCACATGCCTTACCCCAGGAGGAGCTGAGCAGTCATCATGGTGAAGAGCAGCAGTGACACTGTGACAGCATGAGGGCTTAAAACTGTGGGCAGGAGCCAGCGCTGACCAATCAGAGCCTAATGAGCTAACGACGCACAGCTGGTGAAGAATCGCTTCAAGAGAAGAAGATGAAACTTTAGAGTTCAGCTTTTACAGTTTATCTCTAACAGCGCATCGCAGCCCTTTGAACTTGGAGACGTGTGATGTGTAAGCTTGGTGTCAAGCGAACAATCTGCAGCACTGCTCTCTGCTTTCTGTGACTGTCCACTTCCATGTTGGAGCTGTGCTGCATATTCTCTCAGGTAAACTAGCTTTTGTAAAAAAATAAAATAAAATAAATAAATACATAAATAAATAAATAAAATAAAAAATGCCAGACAGATATTACCGGCTTAATGTAAAAAAAACGTGAAAATATTCCAAAATTTTGACCAACCTCCTTCTCCTCCAATCTTTCACATATAGATCCAGATGTTCTCTGAAGGCAACGTGTGTTGTGGGTATTTCATTTCCACATTTTGACGCCAATCATTTTTGGTCCATGGAGCGATATCGCATTCAAAAGTCTTTTTTTTGGCAAACTGAAAAGCCCAGCAATATCAACTGCTTTTGCAGCACTTGGGCATATTTCAAGGTAACATAAGGGTCGGTTTCAACATTTTCTTCCTGTCGTTTAAAACCGAAACATAAAGAATAATTACCATATTAACTGATTCAAGTACACGGCTTCGAAATGACACATTTCGTCTTTTTTTTTTTATTGAAATAAACAGGATTAGTTTCCTTGCCAATCCTGTGTGTGTGGGTGTGTTGAAATCCCAAATAAAGAATACAAAACCAGGTAAATTCTGGAGAAACGGAAAGAAGAATCTAAGAATGAAAGAGTTGCAGCAGCGGTTTTAGAAAGCCTTGATGGAGAGAGATTATGTTTAAAGTCGTATGACACACATGAGAGTTGCTGTGGATGTATAGCTTGTGGACTGAAGAGACACACAGAGCGCTCCTTGTTCACCGGCTGGCTTTAGGGGTACCGTGGCCGGCCGAAAAATGGAGACGCGACCATTTGGCGGTACCTCAGTGCACGGATAAAGAGGAGTCCGTGTAGCTTCCACATGGGTGCAGCGCGGCCATACGGCGCTCTGAACCCTCTTCCTCCCACACTTTGCAGAAGCGGAGGCCTCTGAGAGAGCAGCTTGGGAAGTCAGATGGTCTCCCTGAGCCTGTGATTAATATACTGGAGCTGCTCTCCACCACCTCCACACCGCACTGTCCTCACCTCCAATTAGCATGCTAATGAACCTGCATATGTGTGACCATGTGCATAGAAATGTGTGTGTGGGTGTGTTGTTTCACCTGAGGTCTATATCCAACTGTGCAGCATAAACAGAAATAGGCTGCCATTCAAAAAAGAAAAAAAAACAACAGCAGGCTGTTGCTTGGCTAACAGAGCTCACAGAGCACACACACACAAAGTGTGTGTGTGTGTGTGTGTGTGTGTGTGTGTGTGTGTGTGTGTGTGTTGTGTGTGTGTGTGTGTGTGTGTGAGAGTGAGAGAGAGACAGTAGAGTTTGCTCCTGGTATTATGACACAGGGAGTATGAATGTTTTCTCTTGGCATAATCACCACAGTGACTGTTTGCATGTGGACGTGAGTCGTCACATGTTGGGCGAAACGTGTCCTCCGTGTTTGCTGTGTAAAGACGCCGAGAACAAATGAAGTGAAACAATTTCAAAAGCATGCTTAAAGCTACAAGATAAAACTTTGATATATTTTTATATTAATTGAAGTTTCAAAAGCGTTCATTTTGGGCACGTTTTCTCGCAGAGGAGTCTTGTTTACTGTGTCTAGAAATGTCGATGCGTTCGGAGGCCTGGCTGAGTAATCGAATTCTGATGGAACCTCGGTTCGGTTCGGCTGACGGGAACTCTGGTGAGGTTCGAATGCAAGCGGATGGGAGCGAGAGACCGCCCCAAAAGCAGGAAGTGGACTGCAGCGCAGGGGATTGTGGGAAAACAAACGCGTGTGTAGCGCTAGAGGGAGAAATGGGTCCTGGTCTTTTGCCAAAGACATTAAAAAAATTAATTAATCCTACTGCCGCTAAAATCTGATGGTCCTCCATTTTTGTTTTGTGAAGAAGGAAGTCGCGCTCCTGTCTTCTTCTGAGGCTTTTGTGTCGTTTCCTTCACTTGTTCTCGGTGCGGCGCCACCACAGGCAAGGAGAGGGAACGCAGGTTTTTCGAAGGGTTTGGATCGTCTTCTAGTTTTTGTGTTGTTTCCTTAAGTCAGTGATTCCCAATGTGTGGGGAGCGCCCCCTAGGAGGGACGCAGCGGGAGCGGATAAATGAAAAAAAAACTCTCAGGGAGCTGTTCATGTTTTAACCTCATTTTTTGCACAGAGGCTTTTTTATGTAAGTTGAATATTGTTACAAATAAAAAATATATATACATATTAAATGTTTTTTAGGTTTTTTTACATGCTCAAAGTGAATGAAAACCAGCTCTTTTCCACTCAAAACGACCAAGCCAAAGAGGTCGATTTGATTCAGTTCCTATTACATGACAAAAGCTCAAATCTCAGGGGCGACAATTAGAATAAGCACACAATGCACTCAACAAACACAATTAATTAAACAAGCACACCTCTATATTTATATATTGCCTCCTCGGGATCTTAATTATTAGTAAAAACAAGCAACTTCGCTCGCAGTCTCACAAAAAGCCGCTGGATTCACTAATCAGGACCAAAATACAAGAAAGAGCACATGAAAGAGACCCGCTTTGCTTTGATTCGAAACGTACAAGATGCTGACCACGGGATTATGCGCCGCTGATAAGGTAATTAACAGACTATGATAGTGTAATTAAGCAACCTCGGAGAAGAAAGGCTGCTGGAGTGGCGCGAGGCCGCCGCCGCCCGTCGCACGCCCAAGGCGCCGCTTTAGAGGCCCACCGTTTGGGCCGGTGGCTCTGCGCGGGAAGCGACGGGGGCCCACTAAGCATTAGCTGGCAAACGCCAAATAACTTCATTGTGATGGAAATAAAAGCGCCTTTTGGTGTCCTTTTTTTTTTTTTTTTTTTTTTTTTTGTCGATTGTAAAAAGGCAAAGATCATGTCACAGAAACAATGTGGGTTGTTAGGGAGCCGCTCTCTTCCTCTCTCTCCATATGTCAGCGTTCGGCCTCAACAGAGTTCAGTCTATAAATGGCGCCAGCTTGAATTCACGTGTTTACCTTGCACCGCTTTATTGAGGATGCATCTTCGTAGGGCTGGCCTCGCCGAGTGCACTTCCTCCCCGCCCCCTTCTGCGAGCACTGAACCAGCACAAATTCTGTTTCATTCTATTTATTTGTTTATTTACTCTTATCTCTTTTCCATTTCAGAGGCTTGCTATCAGAGACCTGCAAAACCTCAGAAGCCGAGTGGCTCGGGGAGCCGGGTTTTTTTTTCTTCTTCTTCTTCTTCTTTTTTTTTTCTCTGCGTGCGCGTACGTCTGTGCGCTCCAGGATGAAATTAAAATACAAATAGAAAAGGAAACAGAGGAATCATCACTTTTTGTTATCGTCCGCCGCACGCTTTTTTTTTCTTTTTCTTTTTTGCACTTCCCTCTGTTCACAAACTGCCCCAGGGCACCGAAACAGAAAATGCTCAAAATGAACTCACAGGATATCTTTTAAGTAATATTATAAACAGTCGGGGGAAGGGAGGGGGAGAGATTTACTGCCAAAAGCGACTTGTCATGAAACTACTCATAAAATCTCGGACCTGCCTTTTCATTGTAGAAACTGTGTCGAGCCTGATGAAACTATCCACACCCCCTTTTTCACATTTTCTCACAATGAAATTGCAAACGTTATCGTGTCCTTGTGGGGTTTTGGTAGCTAAGCTTGCAGTTGTGTCGTCCATTTCTAGATGACGGATTGTTGGAAAGGTTTTTTCCTCGTTCTGTCTTCCGTATTCTTTGGTGTTTTTACTGAGTTTTGCTCATTAGTGTTTTCTACCTGAGTGAAGTTGACCCCCCAAACGTTTGTGCTGCAAAATTCCCCTTTTGTGCCGCTGCCATTTAAAAGATAACAAGAAATTTCTCCAGAGGTCATGAAAGGTCAACCAGCTCCGCATTCTTCAAATCAGACAAATGCAGTGTCAATCAAACAAAAAACAAACAGCAAAACAGCAAAAGAAAAACAAAAAAATTGTGCTGCTTTGGCTTTGAAGATATTGATGAAAGTTTCAAGGTCAAAAGGTCAACCAGCCGCCTCCCCCCACATTTTTACAAAATCAAAATGACCTTTAAACTTTCATTAATGTCTTCAAAGCCAAAGCAGCACAACATTTTGTTTTTTTCTGCACAAACCAGGAGAAACGTTCGACAGCGTTTTTGTCTGATTTGAAGATGTTTGAAGATGGAACATGAGGATCTGGTTGACAGTAACCAAACCAAACCGAACCTGAAAACCAAATCCACAACAAAACGGAGCAACTCAAGCATGCGTTGATGTGATTCTCCATGTGTTTTTGATGAACTGCTACTTCTCTCTGGGGATGAATTGAACTGAATTGAATGTCTTACAGGGAAAGATTGGAGGGGAGGAGAAAAGAGTCTAAAAGAGCACAAAAATGATCAAAATAAAAGTGCACTCAAAACCGAACGGCCTTTTTTTACGGTATCTTTACCAAAAAAAAATTTACTTGTATGCTTTGAAACGTTTGTAAATAAAGTCTGCTGGCTTTATATATGTATCACGTGGAAATAAAAGCAGTTTTACAGATATTCGGATGGTTTTTAACCCAATTTTTAAAAGGTGAATTTTAAAATAAATAGAATCTTTTTGGTACAATAACCCTTGTGATAGGTGACAAGTTTCAACCCAGTTTTGGATAATTTTAGCTTTAAGCAGTGGTCAATTTAACTCAACCTTTGGTTAGTTGCTAATATGTTGGGTCAAACCATCAACCCAACCCAGTTGAGTTAAATCGACGCGGCGTTGGGTCGGTCCAA